ATCGATATCCCTTTTGGTTGTCGTTCTCATCCAATTACTACCCACGATATCCGTGAAGCCGGGAGCTTACCGCATACAATTAAATTTAACTTTCAGTGGGAGCACAATTCTATCCAATTAATATCTGGCATTTCACTGCCGAACGAAACGGCTCAAACTTGATACTCAGGATCAACTCTCGTGTTTTCTCTTTGAAACATTTCCGCGCATCAATATGTCACTTTGTATTGATCTTATTAGACAGCAGAGTCTAAGCGGGAGTCCACTGAAGTTACTTTCTGAACCATACTCTGGACGCTCTTGTTGAGCTACTATAAGTCACCTCACTGGTGCATCAAAAATGACCATACATCTACTGCAAGTTAAGAAAGTTCTGAAACCCTTATTGTTTCAAGTGGTTTGGTCATTTAGAGTCACCTTGTAAATTACAAGTAGAAGCAATGCACAGCTGCTTCACTCGTGTTGAAAGTGATCACGCATATGTATGATACACCACATCCATGGGGATTCAATCAGCCCTTGCAGTTAGACAAAATTGTAACCCCCCCTCGTCCCTTGGTCCGTCATTGCCGGAATTCTTAACACGGATGTAACTTTGACAACAACAAAAACAATCGAAAAAGTTAGTATAACCTCTGCAGTCTGCTACATGCCATTCTGTAGTATTAGAAAGCACATCAATCGATTTATATGATACATAGCAACCACACATGCATAAGTTACATCAACTGAGTGCCGATACGATCAATCCTGTATAGTTGTTTGTTTCTTCCGAATTATTTATACACACTAACCTTTTTTCGTCTGCGTCTGGCTAGACCGCAGGCAACCAGTTTGTATGTAAGTTCCTCCGGATGTGGTGCACTTTGGTTAAAAGCTCGACGACGTTCCTGTAACACAACCGATGGAATGAGGCCAGCCCTTTGCTGATGTCCATAATGTCGAGCCTAAAAAAAACATTTTTGTCTGAGAGCAGAGTTTTAGCGTGAGAAGCAATAGTAACAGAACATCTGCGCTAGAGACTTCTGTGGGAAAGCGACTGTCATTACAACAATGATAAGCCGGGAAGTAATGAAAGCTGTTCTAATCCGCGGAGCTCTATCGTTCCATATGCCTTCGTATCTGGAAGGAGTGATGAAATGGATAAATTGGATAGATGGTAGAACAAGACCGTGGTCCGTTGAGTCTAGCAGAGAAACACGTTGGTCGTTTCAGAGGCTAACTGTGGAGAAGATATTTGGACAAGATGGTGGCCTGAACATGTTTACTAGCACGGTAGAAGACGAGTGCTAAAACAAAGTGACTGATTTACGTTGTTTATCAGGGCTAAAGATTTAATTAAGTCCAAAGCGCTGGTTCCCTGCGGGGCGTAATTTCCAACCACTCTTATGGATGTTAAATTCTCTAATATAGTCTTCAGGATCTACCTCTGGGACGTTCTCAACTGGCCTCAATGGAAGCTGTGGGAATCGAAGGGCTAGTATGTAGTATTTGAGCAGGCCGATATACAACACAGAAGTATTCAGGGGGAGAAGAGAACCTCATTCATTTTTGAAGGAGAGCATACAAATTTAAAACCGGTTCTCTGTTAATTTTAAGTGCCAACCCATGCAAATTGATTTGACTGACTTGCCACCAATGAGGATCCTCTTGCTTTAGGACTTGGAGTACGGATCCAGCTTCAAAAGGTAATCCAGCCTCCTTGCATGGAATGAGATTGTCATTTTTAGGATTGTAGGAAAAGTAGGCGCGTAGAAAAAGCTGTAAAAAAGATATCCCCGAATGAAGTGTCATAAAACATAAACACGTAGGGAAATATATCTAGTAATATTCATAGTTCTACTCAACATGTTAGAACTATTAAAAATGTAACCGTGCCTAATGGCACAGTGAGATTTTGGACAAGTTTCTTAACTTTTTCACTAGTTATTTTCTCGTCCCCAAAAGTAATGTTCGCATTTTTGGAGTGGATGCAGAATGCTTTTAAGATGTTTTGAAAGGGCATGGTTTGGAGTGTTTGTGTAATCAATTAGGAGTCGTAAGGGAACTTCTGCGTTGTGAACTTTGGCTAGGCCATTGAATCTCGATGCACGGTTTGTTTTGGGATTCAACTGAAATCATACTGACTTACCCAGCTTCGGTCTGAAATCTCGTAGTCAGGGCTTGGGTCTTATTCCTGAGGGCCTGAGCTCGCTTTTGATGAATTTCACAGTAAGGTTCCTCCGTTTGGTCATGACGGGCTTTTTTGTTGTAATCCGCTTTGATCATGACAACCACTTAGTTGCCTTTATCAGCTTTAGTAATCACTATACTTTAGTCTTTGCGGAGATACTTAACTGCTGAAAGTTCATCTTTCGTTAAATTGCATATTTGCTTTCTTTGATTCCGTGGAATATGAGTTATCTGAGAGTGAGCTTTGTTGGGCTCTTCCTCTGGTACTTTGTGTAAATATTCTTCAAGCTCAAGGACTATGTCAATATGCTTTAAGGAAGACTATGTTCTTTTTTAAAGGCGAGACTTGCTACAAAAGAATGCCAAAAACGAAAATTTGGAGATCTCCACGCCAAACGGGATATACTAACATCAACAAACAAACCAAGTTTCACCGGTCTAGTTCCACCATTGGATTTATCCGATCGTACATGAAACATCTCACAAGTATTCTGCATCCACTCCAAAAATGTGATGAACATTACATTAAAAACTCGAGCTATTTTATCCATAAAGTTAGACTTAGATCAGTCTGAGTGTCTTGTAAGGTACTATGTTGTTTCTCTTTCTACCCATATTCCCATTGAAGAATCTCTCGTACTCATTAAAAGACTGCTATCAAATGGCAATTTTTTGTGCGGTAGAACCACACATGAGGTAGAAGACATCATCAGGGTGATTTCCACCCTTTTCACGTATGATGCAGCTCTATACACACAAACCGATAGAGTGACAATGGGTTCTCTAATCTCACCCATTGTAGTAAACATTTTTATGGAAAATCTTGAGGAGAAAATGCTTAAATCTACGCCAACACCACCAAGAATCTGGTGGAGAAACGTAGATGATACCTTTATAGTGATCAATAAGGATTTTGTGGAACCTTCACACAATTCATCAACCATTTTCAAGAAAACATTAAGTTTACAATAGAAAAGCAAGAAAAAACATTAACTTCTTAGACTGTCAAGTAACTTTCAATGATTTAGGCAACTTATCGACATCTGTGTACAGAAAGCCAATCCACACTGGCAGGTATTTGTCCTACTACTCTGAACACCCCATAAATATGAAGGCCACTGTGGTGACCAACCTCCTAACCAGAGCAAACCAGCTCGTCTCAAACAAAAAGGACAAAAGCACAGAAGTTCAACTAGTCCCAAGAGAGTTGGTGGATAACAAATATCCACCAAGTTTTCTACAGACGAATATTGAAGCGTTTCAATATACGGGTCGCAATTCGGGCAACCAACACCCTTCGTTCACTCTTGATATGACTTAAGTATAGACGACCAAAAGCTGATCAATCGAATCTCATTTACAAGGTAAGATGTAAACAGTGTACAGCCACATACGTTGGCCAAACAAGTCGACAACTAAAGACACGCACAAGAAATCCAAACACCCTCCAAGAAATGCATCGGAGCTTAGGACTCTTGAGAGGGACTCAGCTATCGCCCTACATTCCATTTCTGAGGGACAATCTATAGACTTCAAAAAAACAATTATTCTGAAACAGGGTTTCAGGTCATATAGAGAACGATTAATTACTGAGTCACTGTTCATCAATAATGATCCAATTTGCGTCAATCCATCGGACGGGACCCAATTATCAGTTCACTGGCTTGATGCCAGTTGCTCACACATACAGCCTTGCATACTAATACACAACACTAAATCTCGTCACACGACAAAACTGCTCACAAACGAATCTCCCATCTTCTATGACGTCATCCTTAGCTCTTTGACCTCTTGTTTCATTCACAACTTCCATAATCTCATTTATTATCACACACACACATAAAAACCAACTCAATTTTTCCTCCCCCTAGACCAATCAAGAGGACCTCCAATTGATACGGTCTCTCTCATATTTTTGTTTAACGTTCGCTTGTTACTTGGCTTGATAAGGGCCTTCTAAGAGGGTCAAAACATCGTCAAACGAATAATTCTTCATTCACAAAATAAATGGGCAAATTGATAGTTCGTTTTATTTGTGAGTTCTTGCGTGTGTTTGAATAGTTCAAAAATATGAAGGATTAAAAGCGGATGAAACTCTCTACATATGTGTTTTCTGTCTCCAATTACCTTCCCTTTCGTGACTTGCATGGACGGTTCGACCATTTTGATTTCAAGGGTAGAAATGTTTGATCGAAACTGAAAGATTTAAACTACCTGCTAGAAATTCATCTTTGTATCAGGATTTATCAGCCTGCAAGTAGGCCAACTTATTTTATTTCAGTTATTGTATTGGTATCCTCTCTCGACACTTGACTTGTTTCAGCCTGAATGAAATGACTAACAGGAAACCCAGTGTGTAGAAAATTAACAAAATTATTTAGTGCTGTAAAACCCACAATGATATAAGACAGGTCAAACAGACGAATCTCATTTGCACAAGTTCATCGCAAAAGTATTTGCAATAGTTCTTGTTCCACGCACCTGTGATGTCAGAGGAGTTGACTGATAACCCGGAATGATTTTCAAGGTAACCGTACCAGTGGCATTCCTTAACAGTCTTTGTAAGGTCTGAGGATTGTCGACGGGGACACCGTTGGCCTCCCGAATGACATCTCCTTCATGCAACAACCCTTGTTGTTCAATTCGAGAAGCCGTGAGGATCCGTTTCACTACGAGTTCATTTACCAGTCCATAATGAGCTGATACATACGGTTGTTGCACAATCGTTATTCCCTGTGAACGAATCGATAGTGAGAGAGAGAATAAATAGGATGTAAGAAATAGTGAAAAATGTGCATCCTTGTCAATCTGTATGGACGTACACGACGGGCTAAAGGTAGCCTACTGAAAGCGATATCATGCAACTGGGAGTTATTGATGTAAAAGCACAATCCAAAATGTACACGGAAGCATCCGATTTAGCATTAAATTGTTATAACATGCTGAATCTCGTGTCATGTGTTTACCTCCTAAATTTAGCGTATATTCACTCAGCAAAACCGATCCACATCAACAAAGCTGCGGGGTTCACAGTTTCTACAAGAACACTATGTTCACAACATCTGCGGAAGCGTTGATGAAAACTGAGATCCCAAACTTAGTACTTTGTTTTTTTAGTAGGTATTTTAGCTTCAGATCCATTGAGGTTACAAACGTGCAAATCAAGTGCATAAATCTTAATTTGCAAATACTCGCACATTTTTCTCCAGTAAACAAAGAATGCGGTGAAGCATGCAAAATTATAATGACCGAGCAAGGTAATTGAGAGAAATTTGACCACCTTCCGCTATTGCTGAGAAGTTTACAAAGAGTTCGTCCAAGCTAAAGATGACAAATACACGGGTGCAGAGTGCATTCCGTCCAGAACCAACCAACTTCATTCCAAGTGACAATTAGCCGGAATTTGTACAAATCAGTTTTCTCTCATAAGCTACATTCCACTGACAATTCACAAAAGAAACTGAATGGTCTTATCATCCACTCTAACCCTAATCACAATTTCTTTTTTGTTTTGGTGGAAAATGTATGTTTTGTAAACGGCATATTTCGACGAAGCAAATGTCGGTTTCCTTATTTTTTTTTTAACTCCACTGTGATCTCCAGTGATGCGAAAAGTTTGCATGAATCAGCCAACTTTTTCTAAATAATTTTTTCAGACGCATTTTAAACTATGATGAATAAAGAAATCATTGCATTTTTAGCAGTATAACTTAGTGCACCTCAGTGGAGTAGAGCTGAATCTAGATAATTACTACGATCTTTTACTGATAAATTATTATTCTTTTGGTCTAATTTCTGGGGAGCTTATTGATATGTGGGCGTCATGCGAAAGCAAAGAAATTCAATCGTGATCTTACAAAGGCAACAAAAAGTAATGCTACACGCCACGCATGTGATAAACAAATTAACGAATGAGTTAACTGTAAATGTACCTGGCAGAAGGTATGTTATGGTTATCGATTTTTTTTACCCTTAGTTTGTAAACTGACTTGCATACCAAGTTCAATAGGTGAGCAGCGCAGGTAGATAACAGCAAAAGTTTGAAATATTCACGTGTTTGATATTACACGATTAGTTTATTTGCTCTGACAAACAGTAAATTGGACTGTATTGTGAGTAGCAATTGTACTAGTTCTCCTCTAGAGTGCACTCCCGAGGAGCAGTCATTCACACCTAGCGAACAAGTTGCCCTAGTCTCGAATGATTTTACCATTGAAATTCCCCAAGAATGAACACCCTTTTCGGTTGCATACATCCATCTGGTGGTATATCTGCACGCGGACCAAAAACGAGCTCATTTTTGTGCTAAAGCTGGCTCGTACATCATCCCTTGATGAGAGACATTCAATGCTGTACCTAACCAAGCATGTAAGAGCATTGTAGACCATCCAGTTACTCCAAGGAAGGTTATTAGGATCGTTGGACAGCCAGGGTTAGAGGAGATGTGCTTACATTGTGTTATTTTGTGCGCTCAGTTCCTGGGGACCACAACTGAAGCTGAGTGGTGAATATTAAAAAATGCACTACTACCGTTTAATATGACAATAATACAACTGCTAGGTTCACTTAGTATATCCACAGCAACTTTCAAAGCATAGTTCTTGAAATCACTAGCTCCCATGAAGCATTGAAACGGTCAGTGCGAAAGACATTTCTATGCCCATTGCTACTTTGCAAATTGGCATAAAAGTGGATTTTTCTTGAGGAGGATTGCAACCTACTCCGCGTCCTCTGACGAAGGAAGAAAATATGGTCGAAGCTGGATGTTGGTGATACTCATACCGCATTTCTGCGCCAGTCATCAGACATTATTCTTGTTCGTGATCTGGAATCGTTCTCAAATTGTATGTGAATAATGGAGGATTGGATTCAGTTTCATAGAAGGAATTCGTCGTTTATAGAGCAAATGACGCTCGAACTGAAAAACTAGGAAATAATGTAAGCTGTTTCGACTTAGTTGGGTCTCATCAGCAAAGCAAATCCATCGACCCAACTGAGGATGGAACCCGGGACCTCTTGGGCAGAACGTAAGCATGCTACCCGCTCAGCCACTGGACAGCTGATCAAACGATTTTTTCATTTTGAATATACATGTTATAGCACAACCGATCTATGCGAGCTTGTTGCGAGTATCCCTCCTCGCCCATCTCAGCACTAGTCTATGGGGTTATGACTCGATTGGAAACTTTCACAACTTGACTTGTGTAAATGGAAAATTAAAAAAGATGGTTTGATCAGCTGCCCGGAGACTGAACGGGTAGCATGCTTGTGTTCTGCCGGTAAGTTCCCGGGTTTAACCCCCAGTTGGGTCGATGGATTCGCAGTGCTGGTCGAAACAGCTGTCGAGTGCTTCCTACCTTTTCAGATCACTTCATTTGCTCCATACACGATGAATTCATTCGCAAATTGTGATGTGCCAAACATACAGAGAGGACTCTCACAGATCCTGACCAACCATTGCACACAGAACTGACACGTTATCATTTCAATTTCTCCACACGCTTTCAGTTCCGCCAAATTTCATCTCATATAACCGCTGACCGAAATTCTCCCATACATTTACTCACAAACATAGGGTAACCAGTGAACTTCATTGTAAGCTGGGACAATGAAATATCTTTCACTGTCCGTAAGCACTTTTTCATCGTTTAGTATGTTCCCTGTGACGTGTAAAGTTTTCTAACGAAAACGCAAGCTTTTGTGCTTGCAAAAGTTGTATACAATACAAGACAGGTCAAAACGTTTTAGTGACCTGTCACCCGTGGTTTAATCTGATTAACCTACCAACAAAGAGTGTATGATGAAGTCTAGAAGAAAATTGTACAAAAATTCGACATGTTTTCTTTTTGAGTTGATTTTTCCCAAAAAGTACTTGGGGAACAATAAAACAGGATCATGAGTTAAAACAAAACAAAAACAATGCATTTGTTTGCATCCCGGTAACCAACTGATTCAGTGTTAAGAACGTGGATGGAACTTTTAGCTCATCATATAATAAGCTTTAAGTTCAGGCCTTATATTTGTATAGGCTTACCAAATCTTCACCCAGATTTTTTTCAAAGCTGATAATTTTCATGGTCCCCTCTACAGGAGGAAGTGCCGGTCCCACTCCACCACCTGTCAAGGTTGCCTCTGTTTTGCGCAGATCTATGTAGCCTGGCGTGGTTCCAGGAAGCGACAGAACCGGTCTAGATGTACTGTATGCATTCACCAAGCTCGGGTCAGCAACTCCGTTGAGCAAATCTCCATTACTCAATCCGGTCGAAGGTGCAATCTGGCCACGACTTGCGGCCAAACTTCCTATGGTGCCATACGCGCCCAATCCGGACGTGTTGTAGAAAGCCGATTCGGTTATCTCAGGCATGTGAAAGTTTCTTGTAGCCACTTCGGTATAGGTCTCGAAAAAGGCACACAGGTGAACGCTTTGAAGAAGTTGGAGAAGCTCATTGGCTTCAATATCATTTTTGTCAACAGACAACGGTCCGGCATATAGGGCGTTCATTGTTTCCTGCACGATGCCAAACAGGTCTTCATCTTCTTTCAAAGGAGGTTGATGGGGTAGCGAAAGAACGTCAAGTACCTGATAGAACCAAGTGTCAGATGCGCAAGTACTATGATGATTGACTCAATATTCTTTAATTATCTTCGAGGTTATAAAAGCAAACGTTAAATTATGATTCACCTCGTTGTTCTTTCTGTGCTTACATTATCATTTTCGGTTTCCTGGGATAAATTCTAAAGTATGATCAATACAAATCAATATTATCTAGCGCAAACAATTATTCTCAAGTAACTAAGAGTTGAATGTGTGTGTATTGAATGTGTCACGGTATTACTAAGAGTTTTATTTATTTTTTATTAATATGGCATAATATATGTAAAATCAAATTTATGCCAAACATCGACCTATCCGTAAGTTCGTCAAATACGAATTCAAGACTCATAACCGAAAACAATGAGCATGATAATTCCATAGATGTCTAGTCCAATGATCATTTGGAAGGCACATTTCTGGAAGTATAAATGACCGTGAATGTTACAACGTTAATAACAGCGATGTTATTTACATTATAACATTCATGATAAAATAACACATGGCGCATCGATTTTTCGATACCCTACTAACATCATTTGGTCTTGATGTATTATAAATGATCGTATTTCATGAAAAAAATCGTTTATCAATTTTTAAGGATAATTTTGATTTTCGAAGAAGCATTGCACGATAAATCACTTCTCCGGTGATACCGGGCGGTCTGTTGCTGACACATGTGAATCTTCGACATTCAAAAATACGGTAATTATTTGATGCTCCGGTATCGTGGACAGCCAGTGTGTCTACTCACCTAGTCAAAATTCGATTGGGATATAAACCTTCAGCAAAATGATAAAAATGGAAATAAAACAACTGACAAGAAGATTGACGATCATTAAATCCGTAAAAGCCGTCATTCAATCCTAACCGACTTATTTCTTATGAGGTGAAGTGAGTACTTTCAATAGTGATTGAAACCTTATTTCAGTGTCTGCTTTCTTGCACATCTGTGGTGATGCACGCGTGAATGAACGATTTAACTGCCAAAAAGTGAAACCTCACCAGAAATAACATGCAGACCTTTTGTCAGTGATCTCCAATTGGTTGTAAACAAGAAAATATTGAATCCAAAAATCCAAGCAATCAACTGTTGGCCATCAACTGGGTAGCTCAAGGGTTGGAGTTTTGACTTCCAACTTCTTGGTTGGAGTCTCGCCCAGGAAAAACCCTTCTTGTTGCAAAATAACGATTTCATCATGAACAAACAAATCATTTTTCCAAATCTTTTCTTGAATGTAACTGAAAAATTCGAACTTAAGAACTGTTGCGATATCAGAATAATTGAATTGACTAAGTAATTAGTTATTCGTTGTATTTCTAATAATTAGACTTTCAATTCACTCTATTCCCCTGTTATTAAGATCCACTCAGGTCAGGTTCAAGGACCTGCAGCTAGGATCTGATGCGTTTTGTTCACGGTGGAATTCATGTGCCTTCTTTTCCAGGGGAGTTGTAAATATTTGGTGTGATCAACAATATGGAAAATATTAGATAGTTATCAACCTTTGACTTGACCGTATTTTTCCACAGTATATATTGTATCCCGGTTGCAACATCATTAACTTTTGTTATCGATATTTTCCTTCCGTGTACACATCTCCGTTCACACTTGCAGTTAGTCAGGGCAAACTGCGTACTGTCATAAACGGTCAACTTTGTCAATAATAGTCTCGTCAATAATCTTTGTTGGACGGTGGAAGGTCCAGGATCCAGCAGATATAAGGTGCATGTATCTTGTATTTCCACGTGATTCTAACTCCGATCCAGGATGATCTGGTAGCATATTACTTCGGGTTTTGGTATGCTATTTGCTGATAAAATTCACTTGTTTGGTCCGCTATGGGAATAAGTTGAGGCATGATCTAGGATATTAAAAACCTTATGTATTGTATGAACGAGTAATCAGATTGGACTCTAAATGGTTCTGGCAGTAAACATTATTTGTGCACCAGAGCCTAAGACACGTCGGAGGTAGTAGTTTTGTAATTCCACAAGGCAGTGCCGGGACGAGGAAAGTTATCACGTACGAACAACGGTGAGTGTCGGTAACTGGGCATACATGCAACCAAATACCTCATTTGGAACAAGTATTCAGAACTCTCACAGGCACATAGGATGATCAAACGGTTTGACGGGTGCACATTTCTCGTATTTACAAAAGTAAATTCTTCAGTCCAGTCAAGAATTCCGTGGGAGTCCAATAACTGCTTATTGGTTCGTGAAAACTACTCACAAGTATGAGCTGTATCTCATAATAGTAGGAACTTGCAATAATCAGTAGTACTAATGGAGCAAAAGCAGCATATCCTGATCTGCTAGCACTCAAATGGAAATAGATGAAGATTGTGACATCAACTCACGAAAAACTTAAGAAGAATGGAAAAAGCCGGTAGACGGTCGTGATCAAGTGGTTTTGGTTAGCATAATATAACCTTGGAGGTTGTGACCGAACCCCAACTCTCTCTCTCTATTTTCTTTTAATCACGTGGGGGCAACTTTGATAAGCCTACTTCCTTATCATTAAAATTATTTTTACAGCTGTGTATTTAATGAAAGAATGGTAAGAGGAATTAATGGCCGTTTTCAGGACTAGTCAAAGACCGTTTGTTTTCTTAATACGTTACACCGATTGTAAGCGGAATCCGGTGTACAAAACATTCTGTAATAAATTTGAGCAAACATTTTACAATGATACGAATGACATCACTAATGAGCAAACTACTGTAAGTGATAATCTGTTATCTGTATTGGTTTTCAGGAAACAATAATCCGATGACTTGAAAAAAACTTTCACCTAGAGGACCTGGAAATATTGCTTTATGTAGCATGATTTTTCTCATTCCTTAGGGGGACTCTACATTGCCTAACTATGTATGTTTGTACTTACAGCAACGTCACTGAAAATTTGTTCACAATTAAAGATTAGATTTTACTCTTGATTTGATTTTACTTAATCGATCTGGAACAAGTGCCATTACGTGCCAGTGCTAGTATGGGGGTTTGCGGTTCAAACAGAATAATAAAGCTGATGGCATTTCTACCTAAAACACGTTATACTGAGTTGCCTTGGATTGTTCTGGGGTCCGATATATAAAAAACTAGAACAATGAATACTTACCCGGCAAGGTTATTCGTCGAGATCCATGGCTTGGTGATCAGACTTCCGACGAACATTTTATTTTCAGCTAGTTGTCATAAAGGGTATGTACGGTAATAGATTAACCGTCTAGATTCAATATATTTCTGACATTCGAACAGATAACTGGTAAAGAGCTTCGTAGACTGAGTTTCCAACTAGCTCAGTTTGTCCCGAATAGCAGGGTCAGTATAGTGCACACTGCTCACTAACAAATGTCATTCCCCAAAGTATTTGAGTTCTGTTTGAGGGTGCACCTCTAGTCTTGGCACAATCAGGTGCTACCTGCAGAGGCACGTGTTGTCGCAGTGATACTCATGGGTTCAGACCATGCTGTTAGCCGTTGGATGAAGAATATCATCTGAACCATCTAGTATTCCGGAACTGTTTCACATTCGTGGGTTAACCTTTGACTGGCTGTGTTCCGATGAACCCAGCTTTCTCAGTTGGATTACATTGCCTGCCAAGTGGTCACCAAAGTGTGGGCATCTCTTTCTGGAAGAAATCTCGCGGAGCCACAATTGAGAGTTGCGTGACCAGAGTGGTTAAATTGAAGCGAAATGTTTCTAGGGCCTATAATAGGTTTCTGAGCAAGAAACCTAGGCCAAAAATCTTGAAACCGCACGTCAAATATCTAACATTTTCTGTATAATATAACAAACTCCATTTTCATTCTGTACTTCTGGCAGGATGAAAAATACGCTAAGTTCGACAGGCAATAAAGAGAATGGAGGCCACATCAATAAAAAATTCCTTCGCAACCGTGAAAAATCCCTGTGCTTACTGAAAGTATCTTGCTATATAAGCGTAAGAATAATGTGCACCGAACCTAAGCCCTTCAACGTTTAAAAGATATTCCAAGTGGACCACTGTGTAAGAAAAGAAGACACAGGGCTCTCATTCAGTGCCAACCAATAAACTCGCAAAAATAAAAAAAAATTGAAACTGCGAAATATGTTCTATTCAGTATTCCTAATCACAAATTTACATCTTCATACATACATCTCACAAAAAGGTTTTGTACGTGCCTACTGGCTTTTCGTGATAATTCTACTTCAGAGTGAAACGAAATAACCATTTTTGAGTGTTATCATATTGGTTAAGTAGAAAGCCCATATATGCTATTTTCATTGGCCCATCCAAAAAAAGGTTTGTTGATGTCCCAAAACGTACTGGCTGCTTTACGCATGAATAAGTTGCTTCATCTACATGAAGCCCCAGGAAGGGACTAAGTTACTTTCTCGCAACATCATTTTTCATTTTCCGTCCTGAATTTTTTTGATACCAGCTGAGTACTAAGATGTTCATATTTAGGCTTTGATTTGATTAGCGTGATGATACCTCAAAACAGATATTTCATTTCGCCTAGAAGTGGAGGTAGTGCAGGAAATAAACAAGAGGGCACAAAGCTCTTGTTGAGTGGTCAATGTCAACTAGTTAAAACGTGAATAAAATTGAACACTCGACTCCTTTTCATAATTCTTCGCCCCATTCGTTTTTATTTAACTCGCTGCTTGCTTTCACACTATCTAATATATTTTGGGCACCATCACTGGACCGCTTCTCAAAAAATCAGTAAACCTACCTCCGTTATTAACTACATGTTGAGATGTAATGAAGGTAAGTCTTCATGTCTTTCAGTTGTTTTAGAACAACTTGAGGCATTTGTTGATCATGTGGATTACAGATTAGGCGGAAGAAACAAATGAAGATGACGAATTCAGATAAACTTAGGCCTTTAATACGTTGAGTCGATGTACAACCCCCAAAATTTATATCACTAAAACGTATTACTCACTGCCTCTAAACATGTAGTAACCTGATCTAAAACGGTAAATTTAATGTAACCTGTATGACCGACTGTATTTGTGAGGGTTTTCACGCTCTCTTTCTAGGTCTTTGCATGACTCACCTTCGCGTTTTCCATCCGCTGCGCTCGGCGATGAAAATCCCACATCAAGAAATCCTACCAACTAAGTTACGCAACTCATGTTCCACAATTCTTTGCCTGACCTCATCGTTGCTTGTTCGGTTTCCCAAGCTAATTCAAGCTTTGTGGTTTAGACAACAGTGTTATAATACCGAAAGTTTACCTTGACATGGTTACCGTAACGACCGCATCCTGCACCATACAGCAGCACCGGCTAATCTCTTGTGGCACACACAATCCTTCGCATAAATCTGGGAGCTTCGTCGGTAATATGTCGTATGTTGTCAAACACCAATCAAGCATGGGTGCCAAAATATCATGGATGTTGAGCCCACCATGTAAGATGTTGCTGCTCAAATAGAAAACTTTGTCTACTTTCCCTGTTGCTTCTTCAATCAAGGTTAGGTTCGAATTTGGACCAACAAAAGCCTATAGAAACATTTACACTTTGAAGATACAAAAAGCATACCATCCATTTTACACTACCATCAAATCATTCGCAGAAGCTTGCAACGTACCTAGATCTATCATTAGCAGTACATTGTCGAAAGCATGCTTCAGACCAGATAGCCTGCTATCCGGGAACATGTTGATGAAGCTATCCTCGCAAAATATATGGCTGCTTCCAGAATCACGTATAATACAATGTTAAATGGAGGCAAAGATAGAAATTTATACTAGAAAACAGCTATTTTGAAGCTCAAAATAAGAAGGTAAGCAAGCTCGATCCAGGTTTTCGAAAAACTGGGTGACGATAGTGAAGTAGGCTTCCTCGTACGCCTCAGTGGGAGAGGTGATGTTGGAATATCTTGCGGTCCACTGTGTCCAAAGACGCTTTCAGATCAAGGAGAAAAGAAATCGTGAGTCTTACTAAATAGATGACACGTCAAAGTAACCGCGGGTCTCATCGAGGATTTGTGTGTTGTTCAATTTAATGAATGGAGAAAATATGGTCCACTTGGCTTTGATCAGGTTCTCATAAGAGAAAAATTTACATACGGCAAATACTAAAAGAATTGGAATTACGGTAATAAACTTTGATGTGATGTTAATCCAATTAATTTTTCTATAATCCTCTCAACAGTATCTTTCTTTTTTCTTGTAAATAAGTAAGATGGCCTATTCGGACAAATGTCAGAAACCCCTTTACTTCGACACACTAAACCAGAAGTTTTCATCAACGGTAAGACCAAGATTAAACAACTACAGGAGAACAATCAATACAAGACAGGGGCTTTTTACCTTGTGGTATACATCACTTTTCGAGGAACCTTGGTTTCAATATCAGTTATGATACCAACCGACGAAAATTTAGTCTGAAGTAGAAGCGATCAAATGTTATGTCGATTGGGACCAGTTAAACGGTCCATTAGGATGTTTTATCCCTTTTTTGAACAGGAAGGAGTTTCTGTTAGTAAATCAGTGTGATGTTAAACGCCTTTTCAACGGAACTCGCATAAGTACCGTTAGGTCTAACTAGACAGAAGAATTGCAACTGTTGTTTAGCTTGTAACTCTCGCCATCGCTCTACGATTAAACCAAACTTTGCTATCTACTCTCTATGGTCATCACTAAGGTTCCTCGTGACCTGGCCTAAAGTTCAATCGAATTAGAATTGTAGTTTTATAGGAAGCGTTTCTGTTCTATTACTATAACTATAAACTGAAGATAAACACCACAGTAAATTCACGGGCAAATAAACCAAAGTTAAAAATAATTTTCTGGTAAAAGTCACACCATAATTGCGGTCGTAGTGTTGTGAGATACTACTCACTTATGAATAGTAGGTAACTTTTGATGATCAAAAATATAACAAGACCATCAAGGGCCAAGTGACATATTTGGAAGAATAACTACTGACTGCTCTATACATTACCCTGTGTGTTGGAAAGAATTGCGATGGCATGTTTCTGATCAGGATTTTGTGTTATCCATGCAAAATTACTGACCTCACATATGTATTCCTCACTAAACGAATATCCTCGACCAGTACCGCCTTTTGGTATTATAACAGTAGGATTATTAGCATACATATTTTGAGGGTAAGAAAGGAAATCATTGCCTGTGCAACAGAAGATTCTGTCAGCGCAGTGTAACGGTCGATAGTCCCGCTAAACTTCTCCTTTAACGGCCGTTTCATTCTAGTATTATTCGAATCTCATTGGGACTTTTCTTAAAGAACCGTCTCATTTGTGTCCAGTTGGGACACTTTTTCAATGTGTCCTTTTGGAGTCCCGTCGGGATACAGCATACGCATTTCTAAATTTATACAAAAGTATTTGGAATAAAATCTTTTCATTGTAAATTCTTTAATAAGAGTTGGTTATTTACAACTAAAATGAAGTTGTATTATCAGCTGGCAGCCTTTTCCAAATCAACCAATTACATTTCTTATTTCCTGAGTTGCACAGACCGTAATTTAGCATATCTGACTATGATCCATGTGGATTCTTTTGAATAATCGTAACAGGACGTATTATGGCCACTATGCAATCTTTTGGTACATCAACGATGCTTACGGAACTGGTCGAGTATGGAAACATGTCACCACTAGCCCTATCATACCAGTTTAAACGAGTCTGAAGAATTTATTTGTCTCACATTAGCAGAAATGGTAATTCCAGTAGCAGCAATGCTGTACTTTAGGACGCAAGTGTGCCTTAATAGTTTATTAACTGATACCGGTGGACTTAACATAATATGGTTTGAAGTTTTAACCCCGCCAATACCGTCCAACTTTGGTGGTAGATAGCATTGCTGTTGTCCGGTTTAATACCATGCTTAACATTGTATATTTGGTTCGCCCTCTGAGCCGCGAGGCTTAAATTTTTAAACAGCAGGTCCGCCCTAACTTCTGTTCATTATATAAAAATGCATCCAGAGTTTGGTTCCTAGAAGAGAGCCGGGTGGATCCCGGTTTAGATCGCACAAAGTTGTGTTCTTTTGTATTTTTGATTATTCACTCTATAAATAAATTAAATTGTTAGTGTTTGGACCAGTATTGCACCAGAGTGAGGCATTTTATTACACGTCTCTACCAGTGATTATTTATCAGCATCGATTGCTGTGGAAATAATAACAAAGTTCAAAACTGCAATTTGGAAACAGTTTTTGGTACATTTATTAATTTGCATGAAAATCGACTCTAACCAGGATTAAGCCATACAAAAAGCTTCCTCAGATAAAACAAACATCGATGTGCGTGGTGATCAGTGCACAAACGAATGGAACGTCAAATACAACTGCTCCGGGATAAACCCGCTCGCATAAATTCAACGAAGAGAACACATTCCAAGAAGCATGATATACTTATTGTAAGAAATGTAATATATGCTTGGAATGGTAGTTCTGTTTCTTTTGTTTTTTATTCATTTGAGAGTTTAATACTACACTGCCAACCTTAATGGTGATTACAAACTTTATGGCTCGTTGCAAGCTTATAGCAACAGCAATTGAGTGTCTTCATAGAACTGCCGCCGTTTAAACGTGAACAGCCTGAAGTTTATCAGAGTGATTGGATACATCACATCGGGACCTGCAGGTTATATGTAAACTGTTTGATTTACAAAAATAACATCATTGTCTGGACTAAAATTTCGTTATTTGATGAAATACATCGATTTAAATGGTTATTCTGAACAACTTCATGTATTACAACGATAACAACACCGCATCAAGAGACTTCATAGCATTTTTAAGCAATTGTCCCCAAGGCGACACTCAAAGGACGGCCAAGTGTCCACTTGTGCTGCCTGGGTACCGGGATCGATCCTGGCATGCGTATGAATTACATACCGTATACATTATAGTGTATATTCCGGTGAATAAAAGAAAATATTCATTTATCATCTCGAAATGGATGACATTGAAGTTTAACTCAAAAATAGCTCAACCCAAGTAGCACGACAGTCATCGTTGCGTACCATATTGAACAAGCTGGGTGATTGTCGGGGTAAATAAAAAATTGGTCACTATATTTCAATTGTCAACTTATAGCGATTTAAGCACTTAGCCTCTGAATACAATTAAATAATAACAATTCGCCTCGAATTATCGTGTTGTCGTATAGGTACTCCACTGCCTATGTAAAATCTATCAAATGTGCAATTCATTTAATCCTACCTATGCTTACAATGATTCACTAATGAATCATGCAGAAAAGCTACTGCTGTGTTTATTACGACATTCACTTTAACGCATAAACTTACTTTTTAAACCTAAAATTGTTCTTTATCACGCTGTTTACTAACAACTACCAGTTAACATCCTTTGCTCTTTTGTACCCGCAGTACAGCATGATGAAATTCATGAATGATCATTCTGTCAAAATTTAAATCGCCAGGAGTAAGTAACATACCATATTTTCGCAAAACACTTCGCATTTAACTTTGGAATTGATGTAAAATAGCATATTAAAGAGTAGATTTTTTCATTAAATTAACTTTGTTGCTCTGCAATACGCATAGAGGAAGTGAAAAATTAAAATTTCTCAAATAATTTTACACATGGAATCCGATTTTGGGGTAGTTAGTTCATGAAAATCTGTATTTCGATAACCTGCCCCCTGGTGCCCCAACGATGAATCTCGAGTGTACACCCGTGCTCTCTGGGAAGCTGCTTCTCTTAAGAGGATCGGACCAAACAAAATGTTCTATTTCTATTGTTCTTATAAGAACAATGCCGGCGTGGATGTGCACTGAAAATACTGCAAAAGATTATTCACGTGACTTTAATGGAAACAAACAATGAATACATATTCCTGACCTGAGTTAGTCCCCTGACTTCTGGAGAGGACAAAAGTGAATGCAACAACTTAGCCTCCGGAGAATCGATGATCTTCCGAACATTCTTCTTCACCTTCTTCAAAGCAGCTAAAAACTTGAAATTTTAGTATATAAACAAACCATAGGTGGTTATTTGCTTCATTTCCACGCCGATTAAATTATAATCTTAATTTCGTATCAAACCATCTTGCGGAAATAATATGTTGTAAATCT